AATTCAACCACGATATTGTCCACCACTCACTCTGCCCCTTGCCTCCATTTTTGCTCCATGATGTCAGCACAGGGCCACTGAACCAGAGACCTAGTTCAATATGGCACCAAAACGGTTTGTCCCCAGCGCGACGCCGTAGCCTAGGGCCATGTGGCGCTTCCTCCAGCGGAAAAGGGAGCAACGTAGCGGGTGGGGCCTCATGCTCCGCCCTCTGCGCGTCCGGGCGTGAGTCCCACCCCCGCGGTCTCCGGAACGACTGAACCTGCAGCCGGCTTCTCTTCAGCCTCAGCCTGCGCGCCGCCATCGCCGTCATGCTCGGCCCCGGTCTCCGCCGCTGCGCCGTAGCAGCAGCTGCAGTCGCCCGGGCCAGCCCTCGAGGTCTCCTGCACCCCGCCCCGGGCCCCGGCCCCGCTGCGGGTAAGGTCCGCTCCTGCGCCCGCGTGTCCTTGCGGTGACCTGGGCCCCCGCCGCCACGCGAGGACAGGCTCGCCCCGCGGCCTATGCTGCCCGGNACCTAGTGGTCGCTGGCGTCCTGTCCGTCGCCTTCGGGTGCGGAGAACGCGAGGACGCGCCCCTGGGGCCTACCTCAGAGCGACTTCCTTGTGTGGGCACCGCGGACCGGTCAGGTGTGGACGTGCTGTAGGCGCCAAGGAGGGTTCCCAGCGCACCTCCCGCGTCAATCCGACCCCTTCGGTCCTCGGGGCGTGACCGTAATACCCCGGCGCAGACCCCTGCGGCCACCTGATTGGGAGTGTCCGCCGCCATCAGCGCTTTGGCGAAGGTGACATTGAGCCGCCTGGCGCGCTGCTCAGCGTAGGGGCGGGAGAGGGCCCTCAGAGGAGCCGGGCACCGCTGCCTCCAGGGTCTTTCGAGAATACAATATGCCTCCTTGTGGGGCACAGTATACATTTTTTTAAAATAAGGCATTTCTCGGTAGGCGTTTTGTGGGTCACCTTCACAGACCGTTGTTAATTTTTAGAGACTGCTATGCCACGATCTAATTATTCCACGTTTACGAGAGATCGACGTGTGTGGTTGTTTCCTTAGGTCTGAAAGAGCGCGAATAGGTGATAAGAATGTTACTGTTTCGAAAATGGGGTACCGCAGACCAGGAATACTGGGTTCTACAGACTGGGGCGGGGGGGGGCACTTTATTGTTTGCTTCGGGTTAGAAGCCTAGTTGTTGGAGTATGAAATGTGCTGATTCCTGTCTCTTATTTTTCCTTCCCCAATATATGTGTTCCCAGTGACTGTCTAGCGCTATAACTTTATTTATTTTTTTAAATATATCTTCATTGATTTCAGAGAGAGAGAGAGAGAAACATCAATGATGAGAGAGTCATTGATCCGGCTGCCTAGCCCGCAACCGGGGCATGTGCCCTGACGGGGAATCAAACCCTGAATTCCTGGATCTTAGGTTGATGCTCAACTGCTGAGCCACGCCCCGCCGAGCCAGCACTATAATTTTGATTATTGTAACTGCAGTTTGATCTTGGTCCATGATAGGTGTATATGCTCCATCATTTAGCCCCTAAACATACATATTTTAACATATGAACTCAGAAACTCAAAACCAATAAGATTTTCTTGGCTATTTTGAGTGTTTTAAGTAGACACCTCACCTAAGGAATATGTTTCACTCCATTCAATTTAGACTTTATTTTCTATAATTTATCAGAATGGTAAGGTTGGCATGCACTTCAGAGACCATGGAGACCATTTTATTTTAAGGAAGAGGAAACCAAAGCCCATCTTGGGAATCTGACACCTTAATTAGTGGTAAAACCATTTTCTGTTTCTTAGCCATAGTTATTTTTGGCTCATCCTGATGTTTTTCAGGCTTTATGTTTTTTTATTCTTTCCTTATTTAAATGTGAAAGGAGGAAACACTACTTTAATTTTTTCATATAGACACATTTTGGGGAGGTTTTTATGACCTTCAAAAGAATTATATTTTGTGGCAGGTCAAGGAAAAAACCAGAGGTTTTTGGCAAACTGTAAATTAAGGGGATTCTTTTTTTCTTAGTAAGTTTGGACATAATGGTTTATCTCTTATGTGTTCTATTCCTACTCTTAGAGTTTAATTCATAAAGAGAAAGTTGTATTTTAGATGTTTGTCCCTTAGGCCTAAATATTTGCCACAAGGAGTCAGTATTGTTTACAGCTGTGTCAGCTGCTTTCTAGCCCTGTGACCTTGGACATGTTAACCTTAACACTCAGTTGCCTCTTCTCTAAAATCAGGATAATATTTGGTAGTGGTGAGGTTTCCGTGAGATAAGGTAGCCCTTAGCATCTTGTCTGGCACTAATGCTTAACACATAATTGCTTTATTATAGTGAATTTCACTTTTGCATATTATAGGTATGAGATTAAAGAGATTCTATGCAATTGAAAGTCAGAAAGTATTAAGGTTCTTGTATGAGGTGATCCAAGGTCAAATGAAAGAATATTTTAAAGAGCTCTGGAAAGGTTAACCTGAGTGGCCTCAAGTTTGCTCTAGTTAAGTAGCAACCCAAATTTGGCCCATGAAGAAGTCTCCAACTTGAAACAATTGTGTTCCAGTAACTGCTGAATTAGGTAATTAAAATGTTTTAAACAACAGCTAGAGTCTCTAGTTAACCCTTTTTTTTTTTAAATATATCTATTGATTTCAGAGAGAGGAAAGGAGAGGGAGAGAGAGAGATAGAAACATCAATGATGAGAGAGTCATTGATCGAGCCTGCAACCCAGGCATGTGCCCTGACCGGGAATCGAACCCGATCGCCTGGATCCTAGGTCAACGCTCAACCGCTGAGCCATGCCCAGCCGGGCTCTAGTTAACCCTTAAAACCTACACAATCCTGGCTCCTACAGGATAATTTGAGAAGGGTGAGAGGAGTTTTCTTTTTCTGTTTCTTGGTGCAGGGCTGAATATAAGTGGTACTTTTTTTCACCTTTCCACCCTCTTTTTTGCACCACTTCCACATTTCTAGATTTTCGGCATTCGGGCCCCAAGATCCATGCCTACTTTTAAGCCTTGCACCTCAGGGTTCTGCCTTTGAGTCTGTTCATGTATCCTTTCCATTAATTGCTGCTTTCTCTTACTCCTAGAATCACCACCAAAATGTTCATTCTTTGGGCCTTGTTCCAGCTGATTATTAAATGGAAAGCTATCTGATTAAACCAAAGGGATTAATGAGCTCCTTAATTTTCCTAAATATGCCAGCAGCAGCAGCTTCTTTCTCTCCTCTTCCCTTCCTTCTCTTCCCCTCTTCTCCTTTCCCTTCTCCTGCCTTCCTTTCTTCCTTCCCCTCCTCCTTCCTCTTCCTCTTCCTCTTCCTCCTCTTCCTCCTCTTTCTCCTCCTTCTCCTCCTCCTCCTCCTCCTCCTCCTTTTCTTCCTCCTCTTCTTCTTCTTCTTGTGCTTAACTGAATGCCAAAAAGCAGTATTAGAAATAGCGTTTTAGATTGAGGCTGTAGAAATGTCTCAGTTTTTTTACAGCTGCTTTCCCCTTTTTTACTCTGGAACCTTCAGGTTGTATGAAAGCACTGAGCAGTTGTTTTCTAAAGTAGTTTGCCTTACAAACCTCAAAATTTGGTGGAAAAGCTATCAGTGGCGGGGAGGGAGGGAATGCCTATACAGTTTACCTAAAAATCAAAATGTTAAGTATGACGCGGCATGTTCATAGCTATGAGAACAGATCCTACTCTACCCATTACTGGAATTGGGAATATAGTTTAAACCATGTGGGAGATGGGAGAATCTTTGCCTCCTGGAAGGGATGTGTATTCCTGGTTTATGCTTGGTGTTCTAAAAAGTTGTTGAATACACTCAAACCTCAGTTCTCAAACATCTCCCATGTTGAACAATTTGGTTCTGGTTCTCCACCAAGTTGTTCACATAAAAAAATGTCTTGGTTGTGGAGCAGAACTTCAGTTCTCTACCTCACCATACTTTCATGCTGATACATCAGCATGACAAAAAGTGTCGCTCAGGCTCTTGTCTCAGGAGAGAATGTGAGTCAGTTTACTGCTAAACCTCGTGTTGTTAACATTTCAGGAAATTGTGCTGTGAATTTGTTTGGTTTGGTTTGGTTTTTGCTTTTGTTGCTGGCAAAATGGATGATTAGCACAGTTATAAAACATAAAGGGGTTGTCAAGAATGCTAATGTTGCCCTGGCTGGTGTGGCTCAGTTGGCTGAACATAACCCCATGCACCAAAAGATTGGTGGTTGGATTCTGGTCTGGGCGCGTTCCTAGGTTGTAGGCTTGATCCTCAGTAGGGGGTGTGTAGGAGGCTGCTGATCAATGTTTCTCCCTCTCCCTTCCTCTGTCTCTAAAATAAAAAACATTAATAAAAAAAATGCTAATGTTGCTAAGGGTGTGAAAAACAATGATCACAGGCAGTTGAAGAGTAGAAAAGCTGTTGTTGATTTTAATAAATGAAAAGTGGTTATCCCAAAATAGCATTTTGAAGCAGTGGTACATGAAAAAGGGAAGACGCTGCATGCTGACTTCCTGAAAGACACCCCTGGAACGAGTGCTGAAAGTGATTTTTCTTAAGGCTAGTAGAGGGTGATTTGATAACTTTAAGAAAAGAAGTGTTTGTTTATAGATCAGACAATTCATTAGACATGTGTAGCATATGTAAGAAAGGTTAAAACAGAATCATTTGGGAGTCTGGAACAAACTAATTCAATTTACATTATTTCTAATAGGGGGAAAATGATTCAGTTTTTGAACAAATGGCTTCTCAAACAGCCTTCTGGGACTAATTAAGTTCGAGAACCGAGGTTCCACTGTGCAACCAGTTTGTAACTTGGGACTCCCCAGAAGGAAGGTAAACAAATATTGAAAGTGATCCATTGATCTCCTTGACTGGGATTTGCACTTGCTGGTCATCTTTTTCACAGTTAGAAAACAATACAAAGCTACCAGTCATCTGATGAAATCCATGCCCAGCAGTGAGCAAAAGAATTGGTTATTGCCCTAGCCAGTTTGGGTCAGTGGTTAGAGCGTTGGACTGTGGACTGAAGGGTTCTGGTTCAATTCTATCCAGGGGCACGTACCTTGGTTGCAGGCTCGATCGCTGGCCCTGGTAGGGGCGCTTGCAGGAGGCAACCAATTGATGTGTCTTTCTCACATCGATGTTCCTCCCTCCCCCCTCCCCCNNCACTGTCTCTCCCCCTTTCCCCCCTTCCACTCTCTGAAAAGCAATGGAAAAAGTATCCTTGGGTGAGGATAAAAAAAAAAAGAATTGGTTATTGTGAAACACTTTTCTGGGTGGTAAGAAAGATATACTTAGTAATTACCTCTGGTGAGGGAATGCATATATTTCATATTTCTTGGGTAAATGCTCAAAGTGGAATTACTGGGTCGTATGGTAGATGTGTGTTTAACTTGATAATAAACTGCTAAACAGCCTTCCAAATTGGTTGTACCATTTTACACTTGCACTTTAAGTATTTAGTAAGGATAACTTTAGATTTTGAAAAAAGTAGCTTATACATTTTTGGTAACAGTGGGTAGGAGCCTTGTTGTGATCTATGCTTTCGGATTTGTTAAATGTGAGTATTAATCCTGTAAGAGTTATTAACTATTCATATATTCATATAGTTTTGACTAAATGTTTGCACTTAAAATACTTTTAGGTCTAGAGAGTCATTCTTTTTTCTTATCGTAGAAATTAAAGAGTACCCAATTCCAGCCCATTTATATACATGTCCCACTTCATTCTGGGCTCAGATTGTAGAAATTTAGGTCTCTGGTAAGATTGGGACTTGTGCTGTGGTCCTCTGTGACTAATGACAGGTATTTTGCTATAGGTTCAAATGGCAATTTATCCTTTTGCTTGATCTGCAGAACTGGCTAGTATTCCATCTTTTCCTCTTTTTGTTTTCTTTCTCTCTTTTTCTTATTTTCTTTCATTTTTCTGCACTCTCTTGCCAGTTAGAGCATTAAAGATGTATGGGATATACCTAACATTTAAATTTCAGAGTACACTTAGAGCCCAGAGGTTTCTGCATAGTTTTTGGTTTTTTAAATTTAATTTTAATATTTTCCATCACCCTTTATCCCCTCCATGCCCTCTTCCACCTCTATCCTCCCAAAACCCCAGCAATCACTGCTGTTGTCCATGTTCATGAGTTCTCTCTCTTTTTTTTTCCTTTTTTGCTCAATCCTTTTTAAAATTTTTTAATTGAATTTTTGAGAAAGAAACATTGATTTGTTATTCCACTTATTTATGCATTTTGACTCTTGTATGTGCCCACAACCTTGGCATATCAGGTTGGTACTCCAACCAATTGACCTACTGGGCCCAGGGCTTGCTCTGTGTGTGTGTGTGTGTGCGCGCGGTATTTTGTTTTTTTGTTTTGTTTGTTGCTTTTTTTGTTTGTTTGTTTGATAAGCCTTTAACAATAACTAGAAACTATACCAAGCTTGTCTAATTCATCTAACAGAAAATGCAATTTGAAGAATGTTTTATTTCTATAAATTATGATTTTCATAAATAGATCAATTAAGACATTTTTAGATAAGGATTAATTTATAGCTACCATTTATTGAGTATCTACCTACAAAGTACCAAGTCCTAGGCACTGTTACCTGGCCTTTTATAATTTTTTTATTGATTGATTTTAGGGAGAGAAAAACCGAAACATTGATTGTTGTTTCACTTATTTACACATTCCCTGGTTGATTCTTATATGTTCCCTGATCAGGGATCAAACCCACTACCCGACCCAGGGCTCTGGCCTTTATTTTTAATCATCATAATCTGCTAAGGTAATGGTATCTGCATTTTACAAATAAGGAAAATAAAACAAGTTAACTTGTGGTTGGATGCTTCTAGGCTCTGCTGCTTCCTAAAACCCAAAGGTAAAATTTCCTTCTCCCCCAGCCCCTACCATACAGAGGCTGTTTAGAAAGAGCCAACTCCTAATTCAATGTCCAACTGACAGGCAGTAACTAAAATGGAAAGGCTTTCATATGGTGCTACAAAGGGTGTAATGATTGGGAGCAGAATGCTAAGTGTGTCTTGTTTTCTTGACACTTATATTTTTTTAAATCTCACTTCTTAGAAATCTTATAAAGTAGTATTTTTTTTATTGGGTGTAAGTCAAAGGGCATGTTTATCAAAATTTATGGGGAGGGAGCTGTAGTGTGATAAAACAGTTTTTAAATTACTATTGCTTTGTCAGGATATGTAATTTATTTTGGAATATAATTTAATAGAAAACATAAGATTTAAAAATTTTTATCAAAAATATATCTTATAAATTTGCTTAAGTACTAGAATGAAGTCCTGGCCAGGTAGCTCAGTTGGTTAGAGCGTCATCCCTATACACCAAGGTTGTGGGTTTGATCCCTTGTCAGGGCACACACAAGAGTCAACCAGTGAATGCATAAATAAGAGGAAGAATAAATCAGTGTTTCTCTCTCTCTTGCCCCCTTTCCTCCCTCCCTCTCTCTCCCTCTCAAATCAGTAAATTTTAAAAAATGAATGAATTTCAGAATAAGTTTTAGAATGAGCATTATTTTAAATTAGGATTTAATTCTCTGTTTATTGTAAAAATTCAGACATTTTGGAAGTGTATAAAGAAATAAGGTTTTTCCTTTCAGAGATAACCAATGTTAACAATTTCAAGCTAGCATTACACATTAGGGGGGAAAGCATAAACATACACCCATAGTACTTTTTGTTCTGCTTTTCTTTGTTTAATTTTTAAGATTTTTTTTCATATCAATACATAAGATTTGACATTTGACCTGCTGAATAATTTTTCTACTGTGACATACAGTTGATTCAAAACTTAATGCATTGAATGTATTTATTTTTATTTTTTTGTTTACTTTTTTTTAAATATGTCTTTATTGATTTCAGAGAGAGGAAGAGAGAGATAGAAACATCAGTAATGAGAGAGTCATTGATTGGCTGCCTCCTGCACATCCCGTACTGGGTGGGGATCAAGCCCACAGCCCGGGCATGTGCCCTGATGGGGAACCAAACCTCAGTCTCCTAGATCATAGGTCAGTGCTCAACCGCTGAGCTCAGCCAGCCGGACTACATTGAATGTATTTAAATGCCACTGAACTGTATACTTAAAAATGTTTAGGATGGTAGATGTTATATGTGTTTTAACACAATAAAAAAAGAAAACAAACAAAAAACCCTTAATGTATTGACAGGATTTATCAAGTACTGCTTCTGTACACTGCAGTTATTCTTTCTCCATTGTAGCTATCCAGTCAGTTCGCTGCTACTCCCACGGGTCACATGAGACAGATGAGGAATTTGATGCTCGCTGGGTGACATACTTCAACAAGCCAGATATTGATGCCTGGGAATTGCGTAAAGGTAATTGGGATATAGACTGCTGGACAGTCTATTTTGTCTATTTTGGTATAGAATTATGAACTGCTTTGTAGTCTTTCATTACTTTGTTAAAAGCAACTATTTTGAAAACATGTATCATGTAAACTAAGTACTCTCCTGCAACTTGCAGTTAGAAAACATTATAGCTTCCATAGTATTTCCTGTAAAGCAAGGTTTTAAAGCAGGCACAATTCATAGTTAGTGTTAGATAATAGATCTTTGTCGCAAGTGTTGTCCTTTGCATTGTAACTTGTTTAGCAGCATCCTTGGCTTCTACCCACTAGGTGCCACCCCCCACCCCACCCCAGTTGTGACAACCAAAAATGTTTCCTGGGAGTCAAAATGACCTCTAATTGAATGATAGGTCAGGGTGAGCAGGAGTTAAATTTTGTATCTTTTAGATAATTTATGCAAGTAGTCATTTGGTTCTTCTCCCTTCTTAGTCATAATTTGGGTTTTTTGTTATTTTTATTCTCAGTTATGATTTGTCTTGCCCGAATAAGTGTCCAGTCTAAGTGAGCTAGAACTTATTTTTCCTAAACTTATAGATGTGCATTTAACCATGTGTAAGTAGCATTAATGATAACTAGTCTAATAGTTAGACTAGTAACGTAGATAACTTAAGGTGTAGGCAGTTTATCTCAGACCAAGAATTCAGTCTCTGTGACTATATTCTAGCATTATAGTAACTGGTGTCCTTTGTTTAAATATTATAAAATAAAAGCGAGAAACCTAAGTGCTTCAAATTTCTCTGCAGGAATGTAATGGCTCCATTTTGCTGCAACCAAGGAAATACTTATTTAATAATTTTGAGAAGTAATTAAAAGAACAGAAATTCTGCATTTCTGTTAAGAGAATTTAAATTTTATGTCTTATTTTGTGCAAAGCTGAAAGTAATCATGCCCAACCGTTTTTCTGGTTGAATATTTGAGTCTGTGCACTAATGTTTCTCTATGTATCTTTAATGTCTTCATTTGAGCTTCATTAACTCTCCTTTAGCATTTCTCTGGTTGTTTTTAGATTACTTCCCAATCAAATCTATTTTAAAGCAATCAAAGTGCATACATTGTACTAAGAGTTAAAGATACGAGTTGAAAATGATCCTCTTGTTTGAAAATGTTTGTTTTTCTTCATTACACAGGCTACTACATACTTCTTTCCACTTATTTACTGTGGAAGAGTCATTATGATCTTATCATCTAGGATTTGTTAAAAGTAGATTCTCTCATTTTATAGATAAGAGAATAGAGGCCTGATGGGTTCCAGGACCCAATTCCAATGTGTGTGTGGAGGCTTTCCTACACCAAGAAACAAATCTGGATGCCAGCAGGGTGTCCAGGAATTCAACTCAGTATGGCATTATCTACCTTACCCACAAGTAGAATCAGATTCCACAGGTAAAGGGCTCAGTCTCACAAGATTACCCTTCACTTTAGAGACTGGTTTTAAGCCTAGGTGGTTCATCTGTGCTTCTGACCTACCAACTACAAATCAGAAGTTCTCACAACCCCCTCCTTGGGTTCAAATGGCTCACAGAACTCAAGAAAACCTGTTTCTTCACTATATTTACAATTTATTACAAATGTTAAAGGATACAAATCAGCCAGATAGATACATAAGATGAGGTCCCAAATGAAGGAGCTTCTGTTCTCATGGATCTTGGGGGCCTGCACAGTGGCTCATGGAGGCATTATAATACCTCAGTGTGGAAGCTCTCTGAAAAAGGACCAAGGGCCTTTCCTATGGTTTTTATGGAGGCTTCATTACCTAGTCATGATTGACTAATTCTTTGGCCATTGGCAATTAATTCAACCTAAAGCCCCTCTCCCTTCCTTGGAAATCAGGGGTGGAACCGAAAATTTCAATCTTCTATGCAGAGTTGGTCTCTTCTGGCAACCAACCCCCACTCTTGGGAGTCCAAAAGTTACCTCCTTAATGTAACAAGAGGCACCATTGTGATCTCATCACTGAGAAGATTCCAAGGAGGGTTGGGGGTTCTGTGCCAGAAACAGACCGAATATATATTTATTATAAGTCACAGTATCATAGGCCAAAATAGACAAGATCACATGTCTGTGTTTTAATAAAAACATAGATAACTAAATTATAGTTTAAGTGAGAATATTTCAGGTTGATGTGGCCCCTCTTTTTAATTTGACAGGGATGAACACACTTGTTGGCTATGATCTGGTTCCAGAACCCAAAATCATTGATGCTGCTTTGCGGGCATGCAGACGGTTAAATGATTTTGCTAGTGCTGTTCGCATCCTAGAGGTTGTTAAGGTCAGTGAAATAATGCTCACGTTTTTCTGGAAATATGTGATGTGGTGATTAGATGTCAGCATATTCTGTATTTTTTAATTTGTTAAAATTCCTAAGATTAGTTCTTATATAGCTAGAGGGAATGTACAGTGCAATTAATAATTTTTTTGCAGTGCAGTTTGACAGAATTTATCCCAGGCCTTAAAATTTGTGCTTGATACTCTTTGGTTCAGCACATCCATTTAAGAGTTTATCTTGAGGATGTACAAAGGTTTAACTATAATTTATCTTTGTGCTATTTGTGATAGGAAATTAAATGTTGTTAGTAATTTCTTAAGGTGGGACTTCCCAGAAGTGGCTATTATTACACAAATGTGTTTAACAGTAAACATATTTATATTAAACATATTTATAGCATGTTAACTAAAGAAAATTATGAAACCACTTTTGTGGTGTGACCCCATTTTATTAAAATATATATAGGTGAAAATGTAGGTGGGCATATTCTCCCTTTTGCTTGATTATAGTTTCTGATTTCTCTGTAATGTGCAAATAAATACATTTCATTTTAAACAAGAATTTTATAATTAAAAAAATATAACTAAGAAAGCTTAGAATTTGTTAAAGGCAGAAGAATAGCAGCTTGGCAGTGTCCTTAGTCCTTTTTGTCCCTGGGGAGCTTTGTGACAACATATAGGTATTAATGTATGTTGTGGTGAGTATTCATGAAAACTCTCTTGCCCTAGAAATAAGTATTCTCTAAGTGTAGCTCTCCAAGAAAGGATGTGGTCTATAAGATAGAAATTCAAGATCTGTAAAAAAAAAAGTGTGAGATTACTTTATCTACAATGGATGATAATTTAGGGTTCTGTAGGCTATCAGTTCATTCAGCACCAGTAGTTAATTCAGTTAGGGTCTCAAATTGGAAGCAAATTTTAAAACTTTTCCTCTGTTAAGTTAATTATTCCTTTTGCCTGCTGGGTATGTTTAATTACCTTCACAAAATTCTGTCATCACCACCCTGTTTTCCAGTAACTGAGGCTTTGAAAAAAAATTTTTCTGGATTTAGTCTAATTGTCTTAGTTATTCCCAAGGTGTCTTTAAAAACCTACCTTGACTAGTGCCCACAAAGTTGCTCTCTTTATGGAACAAATATGTTAAAAAAAAGTAGTCTCTGCATATGTGAGTAAAAGCATTTTCAGGTTCATTTTGTAAATAGAGATGGCTTTTCAGAGAGCTAAATGTGAATTTTTTTTGCCATCAGGACAAAGCAGGACCTCATAAGGAAATCTACCCTTATGTCATCCAGGAACTTAGACCAACTTTAAATGAACTGGGAATCTCCACTCCAGAGGAACTGGGCCTTGACAAAGTATAAACTCCATCGGTAAGCAACGTACCACTGACTAAAGCAGTAAAGAATCCAGGGAGGGGTGAATGAGTGACATTTCAGTGTTTTCAGAGTAAGACCTTTTAATGGGCTTGTTAGAGGCTATGAGCATAGAGATTTAGAGGATACCAATGGTGATAACTAAGCAGCTTGGACTGTTATTCTTATCTGTTATAATTGTTCTCTTACTGGTGTAAAGGCAAGTAAGGTCTCCTTAATAAAAAGTCTATATAAAATATTTCAAGTATAAAGAATAGCATAGAGCCCTAGCCAGTTTGCTCAGTGGTTAGAACGTCAGCATGTAGACTGAAGGGTCCCAGGTTTGATTCTAGCCAAGGGCACATACCTCAGTTGCAGGCTCAATCCCTGGCCCTGGGGCATGTGTGGGAGGCAACCAGTCGATGTTGTCTCTCTCACATCAATGTTCCTCTCCCCCTCCCCCTCTCTCTCCTCCTCCCCTCCCCCCTTCCCCTCTCTCTGAAAAAGCAATGGAAAAAATATATATTCTCAGGTAAGGATTTAAAAAAAAAAAAGAATAGCATAGAGAGCCTGGTCAGTGCAGCTCAGTGGTTGAGTATTGACCCATGAACCAAGAGGTCACTGATTCAATTCCAGGTCAGGGCATATGCCCAGGTTGTGGGCTCAATCCCTGGCAGGGGCTGTGCAGGAGGCAGCCAGTCAATGATGTTTCTATTTCTCTCCCTCTCCCTTCCTTTCTCTCTAAAGAATCAATTTTAAAAAAAACTTCTCTTTTAAAAAAGCGTAGAGAATAAATGTAACCACACCCAGGTTTTCAGATATTATTATTTCGCCATATCTGCTTTAGTCACACATGTCCAGTCCCCGCCCACCCCAAGAAATGATTGGTTTCACCTAGAGTTGAAGCTCTCTGGATACCCTTCCCTCATTTCGGCCCATCAACCTCTCAAAAACTAAAAGTAGTTCACTGCATTCAAGATATTTTTCATGTATTTTTTTTTTTGTATATATATATATGGACTTTTATTGATTTCAGATAGAGGAAGGGAGAGGGGGAGAGAGAGAGAAACACCAATGATGAGAGAGTCATTGATCAGCAGCCTCCTGCATGCCTCCCACTGGGGATGGAGCCTGCAACCCGGGCATGTGCCCTGATGGGGAATTGAACCTCGGTCTCCTGGATCCTAGGTGGATGCTCAATCCCTGAGCCACACCTGGCCAGGCTCATGCTTTTATACATGTGGTTATTTATTTATTTATTTTAAAAAATATATCTTTATTGATTTCAGAGAGAGGAAGAGAAAGGGGGAAAGAGAGAGAGAAACATCAGTGATGAGCGCCTAGGCATGTGCCTTGACTAGGAATTGAACCAAGATCTCCTGGATCATAGGTTAATGCTCAACCACCAAGCCAAGCTGGCCGGGCTACATGTGTTTATTTATTTTTTGTTGAAATGTATGTTTATTCTGATATTTCTGATCAGTTGTACACTTATCTAGGGCAAATTACCAAATAAATTTTACATTTCTTCAGGACTGGGGTTTTTCCATGGCTTCAAATTTGGGATCTTCAAATTTGAAGTCAGGGAATGCATTCATGTCTGCTTTACCATACATTTGCTTAAGCTTAAAAAGCTCCCTTTCCAAGTCTTGCTGATACTCTGGGCCAGCATCAACAGGTCCTCCAGATGACTGTCACTTAGTTTTGTATTCTCTAATCTTGTCCACGAAGAGTTTCTGTACAGGATCAAGCTCCTTATTAAATGCCACTGCTGTAACACCAATATTCCTTCTCAAATGGACTGAGGTTGCAGACTGGATGACAGAGGAGAACCTGAAGAGCCTCTGAAGAATCATGGTGATTCTTTTACTGAGGATATTTTTTCCATTGCTTGCACTCAGTCCCACGCTGCCAAAGCCACCATACATGTGTTTATTTTTAACAACAGTGTTTTATTAATTGATATTTTTGTTTTTGTGTGCCCAGGTTTAATTTAATAGTCAAGTAAATGTTCATCAATAATAAAAGCTTATTGTTCTCTGTGGAAAGACAGATAGGTAATAAAACCAGCCACAACGTTGTCTAGGTAGTGAGCAGTGTGCAGAAAATCCTTTGTAAAACAGAAAATATATAAGCAATAACTCACTTTAATTTTATTTAACAAATACTAGTGTATATCTTTTTCCCCCTAAATCCTCACTTGAGGTTATTTTTCCATTGATTTTTACAGAGAGTGGGAGGGAGGGGAAGAGCAGGGGATAGAGAGAGAAACATAGATGTGAGAGCGATACATTGACTGGTTGCCTCCCACACGCATCCTGGGGTCAGGGATCAAACCTGCAACCCAGGTACATGCCCTTGATGAGGAATCAAACTCACGACACTTCTGTGCATGGGCTGACTCTCTAACCACTGAGCAACACTGGCCAGGGCAGTGTATGTAATTCTTGATATGTGTCAAGCACAGTTTTAAGTACTATATAAATATTAATTCATTTAATCCTCATAAACATCCCTAAGAGGTGGTTACTGTTATTATACTATTCCTATTTTATTATTTACTGGTGAGGAAACTGAGGCACTTTGTCCAAAGTCAAGGTAATATAATGCACATTTAAACCCAGGCAGACTGGCTCCAGAGTTCATTGCTCTTACTATGCCACATGTCCTGCATAGGCATTTACTAAGGTCATACTCTTATTTCTCAGAGTTAAAAAATAAGGCTTAAATAAAAGTGGACTCATAATTATTTGAGGAGCTATTAAATATCAGATCCTTCACAAGATAAAGAACTAATGAGCCTGGTTAGGATATTATTAGTGAACATTTAGTCTTCCTACTGACAGACTAAGCAGAAAATGTTTGAGGTTTTACTGTAATCCACTTTGGGGCTTGCTTTTTGGAGAAGTCTTAATTTTTTATCTTTGTCCACAATCACCTGAAGTCAGGTAGCTCATCTTTATAACCTATGGAAAGGTTTATAGGTTTATAACCTATAAACATTTCTTTGAGCACTAAGAGAAAATTAGGTATCCAGAATAGAGGATTTCCTAAGTTATATTTTTGAAGCTCTTATCTGTGGTTCATACTTCATGATGGACTCTTAAAAGGTTATCTAAACACTTGGCCTTAATTTTTATTTTATCAAATATTATTGCAAGAAGTCCAGAAGATCTTTGTTATATAGAATGTATTCTTGCTGCAGTAATGTGTTTCTTTTTTAAAAAAATTTAAGAGCAACTCCCCAATACTTTTCTGATTGGAAAAGAAGACTAACCCAGTAAGTACCAGGTATATAAACAACAAGAGAGCCACAGATAGCCCCCTGTGAGGTGACCATAGCAGGATTAAGAAAGCACAGAAAAGGCTACATAGAGGAAGTTATTTCCCTGGGCTGTTGATCTAAAGAAGGTTATTGTAAAGATTTCTACTTTTTCATTATTTCCTGCTAATTGTTCATATTTTCTCTTACAGATAGGCTTCCCAAGGATTTACTGATAATGCTACTTGAGTGTAAACAATCACCTGGAAATACTGATGATAACATATTACCTTATTTGAACAAGTTTTCCTTTATTGAGTACCAAACCATGTAATGGTAACTTGAACTTTAATAAAAGGAAATGAGTTTGAACTTAAATTTGATACTGTTCCATCTGTTTACATTAAAAAGCAGAAAATGGTTTCACAGTTTTGTTGTTACCTTATGTGCTGAGAGAACTTTAATTTTCTGGAAGCCATCACTAGAGAAACATATTTGGGTGCACTGGCTGGTAAAATAGCTAAAGGCTAAAAGTCATTTATATAGAATTTCCTTGTTGACAGGGCCAGCAAACCCTGGGCTTAGGGAATTGGTTGTCTGAGGATAGATCAAATTGTGTACCTTCCCAAAACAAGTGAAATAAAGTTTAAAAGTGGTCATTGAGATAGTCTTGAGGATGTGCTATAGGGTAGCCAGTTCTCTCTTAGTGCCCCTTTCCTTCCCTACCTGATCTTTCCTGGCAGTGCCTTGGGCATCAAAGAATTTGTTGTTGTAGATTTAGAAGCTTTCTGCTTAAAGAACTAAGTAAATGGGTTTACTTCTTGAGAGAATAAAATAAATCCTTTCTTTAGAAGTCCCATAATACTGGATATCAGCTGCTGGATAAATTGGTTCTAGGCCTGAGTGTCTTCTACTTCAGCCAGTTCAGACTGCAGCATCCGGGGAATAGGGATAATGTTCAGTTGAAATTTAAAAAAAAATTTATTTATCTTTATTGATTTCAGAGAGAGGAAGGGAAAGCGAGAGAGAGAGATAGAAACATCAATGATGAGAAAGTCATCATTGGACACCCCCAGCTCAGGATCAAGCCTGCAACCTGGGCATGTACCTTGACCGGGAATCAAACTGTGATCTCCTGGATCCTAGGTCAATGCTCAACTGTTCAGCCACGCCCGGCCAGGCATAAGATTCACCTGTTTCATTTTTTTTTTTCCATTTTTTTTTAGAGGAAGGGTGGGGGGGGAGATAGAAACATCAATGGGCTGCCTCCTGCAAGCCCCCTACTGGGGATGGAGCCCAAAACCCAGGCATGTGTCCTGATAGGGAATCGAACCAGTCACCTCTTGTTCATGGGATGACACTCAATCCATTGAGCTACACCTGCCAGGTCAGTTGAAATTTTGATGTCTTTTCTCCTAAAACCATTGTAAGGGAATGTTAGTAAATGTTTCAGTAAGGTTTTAACACAAATGACCTTTTATAAAAGGCTGACTCCCTCCCAAAAATTCCCCTCTCCCCTGTTTTAAGGATTATAAATGTGAAATAAACTAAAACAGCCACATACATCTATTTATGTGTAGTTAGTAGTCCATAGCTCTTAGGTTTGCTGTCTCTGCAGGGCAGTTCTTTCCCTCTCCTTCCATGTAGTATAACATCCCAGTTTCCTGGGGTTTTTCCTCCAGATTCTCTTTATGTTGCTTCCCCCACAGTAGTGAATATCAACATAGTCCTGCCCTCATAACCTCAAGAGTGAGAGGCAGGGGGATATTAAAACAGAATAATCACAGATATAAAGGTGTCATGGCAGATTTTTAAAGTTCTGTGAACAACAGCCCAGCCGGTGTGGCTCAGTGGTTAAGCATCGATCCATGAACCAAGAGGTCATGATTCGATTCCTGGTCAGGGCACATGCCCAGGTTTCAGGCTCAATCCCCAGTAGGGTGCGTGCAGCAGGCAACCGATCAGTGACTCTCATTTGATGTTTCTATATCTCCCTCTCCCTTCTCTCTGAAATCAACACATATTTTAAAAAAGAAAAGTTTTGTGAACATGCATTTGGGTAATGTGAGAAAGGGAATGATAGTTTAAGTTGAAGCCTAAAGGATTGGGGGTGTTTGTTTATACAGGGCTTTAGCTAAATGGTAATTTCATTTACATATTTACTTTTGCTAATGAAGGACTTTATTTCAAACAAAAATAAAAAATTGAGAGCTATATCCCTGGGTGTGGGGAAGGGATTAGGGCAAGAAAATTCCCATGGCTAGCCCAATACCCTCAGGTACTGGAGGGGTTGTATAACTCCGTTCTTGGCCCCTGTGATTGAGAATCTCAGCAAGTGCAGGACCCTATGCCAGAGCCCACCTTCCAAGGGGAACTCAGGCTAGGAATCAGTACCTGGAAAGGGAAAGGCAGCACTATAGCCAAAGGCAGACCATAGGATCAAGTCCTAAGTACCAGGGACTGTTTCCTGCTTCCTGGGACCCAGAACAAAATAAGAAGATGGCCTATGATCCTAGCTGGTTTGGCTCACTGGTTAGAGCATCAGCCTGCAGACTAAAGGGTCTCGGGTTTGATTCCAATCAAGGGCACATACCTCAGTTGCAGGCTTGTGCGGAAAGCAACCAATCCATGTGTTTCTCACATGGATGTTTCTCTCCCCGCCTCCTGAAAATCAATGGGAAAAATATCCTCAGGTAAGGATTTTAAAAAAAAAAGGTGGCCTGTGGAGCCCTGGCCAGTTTGGTTCAATGGTTAGAGCATTAGCCCAAGGACCAAAGGGTCACTGGTTCGATTCCTGGTCAAGGGCATGTACGTCCACTGCGTGTTCATTCCCCAGCCCTGGTTCGGGTGCATGCAGGAGGTGACCAATCGATGTGTTGCTCTCATGTCAATGTTTCTCTGTCCCCCCTCCTCTCTTCCTCCCACTCTCTCAAAATCAATAGAAAAAAATAACCTCAGCTGAGGATTCACAAAAAAAGATGACCTGTGGAAAGAACTTCTCACCCTGGTGGGAAGAAAGACCCAGTGTCCTCATGTTTATCACCTCTGTTCTCTGGAGGGCACTGAGTCCTGGAGTCTGTCAGGTGGTAATACCCACACTGATGAGGGCAGGGAAACCCCAGCAAGTCTGGATAAGGCTGATTCTCCCACCCCCTGGCAAGGTCTACACTCACCCTTTGATCCTTTGTATTTCTTACCTTCTATTTCCCTTGGGTGGATGGGTAAGTAGATGGGGTTTCTCCAGCAAGGGCCCTCCCAAGGAGGGTCCCCTGAATGCTCCACTACTCCAGGGCCTGAGAAAGTACAATGTCACATTATGCCATTGGTGAGGTACTGGAAGCTGTCATAGAGTTCGGTGGTGATAGACTACATGCTGCTATCCACCAGTCGCTGGAGCTGCTTCTCAGTCATGCTCATGTAAAACCTTTGAGATTATGGATGGTGCTGGAGCCATGGAAGCAAGGAACTGGAGAACTTTGCTGCACAATCTCCATGATCTGCACCACCTTGTCCATGTGTTTCCAAGCAGCAACGAGGCCCTGCAGCAGCATCTTGTAGTAGTTGAATATGTCACCATCCAGGCCACCTATGATGTCTACAAACTGTGGTCAGCTTAAAGGCTGGCATTGCAGAGCTCAGGTTTCGGGGTGAGCTGGACAAGATGAAGCCAAAGTCATTGTGAATGATGTGGCCTTCTGCTTCTAAAAGGATGGTTCCATTGTGTCTCCTTGACTTGGAGCAGGTAGCCAGCTCAACTTTGCACGACACTGTGCTGAGCACTGAGGAATGCCTCAGTGGTGTAACTGCCATGCTCCTGTAGGAAGTAATCATCGGGAAAGGAGGGCTGTAACTGTTTCTTTCCCTGGTGGCTGAACACTTGACCACTGGTTCAGTCATGCTACTGTCCATTGAAATCACAAGGACTTGTATGGCTTGATCCACAGGGTACTTGCTCCTGTTCCCAAGTGGACTGCAGTTGCTTCAACACCTGGAAAGCCAGCAGCTCCTTCCCAAAGGTCATCTCCCACACTTGACAGTGACTGACAGGAGCTGCCAATTGGGGAGATGGCCGTAGGGGGAGCTGAGCACTCTCTGATACCCTCACTTTTTCCTGCCAGGGCTCTTTGAGAGCAACTGTAGAAGGGTCTTCTGGGTCACATATGAAGGTGGAGGGTGTGAGCCAGCTGCTCTGAAAGGCACTGTCAGATGTACCCTGCTGCAATGAACACAGGCTCTTTGCTTTACTGGATGGTGATACTGTCCATGGATGGAAAACACTGTCACACCTGTTGTGCACTTCAGGGAGCTCCACTTGCAGCTTCCCTGTGTGGTCCACTGACCAGGCCTCATCATTTTTGTCATAGGCACAGTGTTGAAACTGCCTTCCTCCTGCTTGTGGGTGATACCGCAGGTTTTCTATAGACCATATGCTCTGTATTCAGCTCTCGGGGACCTGGGCAGGGACATTGGTGGTGTTGAAGTTTTCACATTCAAGGACTTCCACACAGATCAGATAGGGAGCCTTGCCCTTGGGAGTTGAGGACAATAGCCTGGGTATGGGGCACATGGACCACGTGGTGGTCAAAGCTGGTAGTGGGCAGCCAGACTTAGGCAGGGAGAGCTCTGAGATCAGCCACTGTGTTTTCTGCTCCTTGGGCCCGGGGTTGGGGGAAGCATGGCCAGCCACATGGTGGTCACCATCAGAGATTCGATGAATTCTCAACCAGGAGCCAGTCTGAAAGGCTCATCCTCATTCTCCACTTTGGGGTTGCTGGCTTTCGTTTCAGATTGCTGTTGACTTATGCTGGTGGTGGCTTCTGACTTAGGGCACTGGTAAGTCCTTTTAGAGGAGACAGCCCTGTGTCAGGGGCTGGGCTCAGGGAGGGCAGCTCCCTCTTTCAGTGAGCTGGCTTCAGCGCATCTGAAAGGATCAGTTTAGGTAGCTTGGTCCCACAGGAGTTATTGTTGAGTGGAAATGTGCTTGTCAGAAGAGTAGACCCCAAGCAACAGGGCACACTGGAGGGAAATGTTAATGCTCTGGCAGCAACAGTAGACTATGCAGGGCTTAATGGCATCATCCACATCCTCATCCTTGTGTATGTACATGTTAAGCAACTGGGGCAGATAGAAGTCCATGTCCTTTCAACATCACTAATCATCAGAGAAATGCAGTTTACAACCACAATGAGATATCACCTCACAGCTATCAGAATAGCTATCATCAATAAATCCACAATGGGCAAGTATTGGTGAGGAACTGGAGAAAAGGGAACCCTCACACACTGCTTGTGGGAATGCAGATTGGTGCAGCCACTATGGAAAACAGTATAGAGGGTTCTCAAAAAATTAAAAATGGAACTGCCTTATGACCCAGTGAT